GATTGTCCTGGTAAAGCTAAGAGGGTCTGAAAAACCTGTTTGAGAGATGGGCAGGTCCTTTTTGACATTTGTGTTTATATGTTTTAAATGATAGAATTCTTAAGTTAATAGCGAAGTCCTACTACCACCTTCACATGGTACGGACTGGACAACAAACTCCATTGGAGTTCGGCTAATGAGGGAGGCTACCCCGTATGTGAGATATATAGACGGTGTGGCCCGCCCTGAAGTAATGCTTAACAACAGTCCCAGGAAAGTCCACAATATGTTGGTCATGAAAAGAAAAAAAAAATGAAAAAGATGTTAATAATGAAAGTGTTGAAAAACCCCACCAAGAAGGTCCATTAATTAGTGGAACAGAATCACCACAATTCAAAACTTTAGTTTTGGAAAAAATTTAAATATAAATATTCATTGTTTTGCTGAATCTTATATTGGTATAAAAATTAATGAAGTATTAAATATCATTAAACTTGTAAATATATATTAAAATAAAAATTTGAGAACAAAAACAGTATCAGGAAAGTAATTTGAAATTATTGAACATTTTTTTTGAACAACTTTAAAATAGTTCTAAGCTAAGTATTTATAAAGTTTATAAATTTTTCAAAAAATATATGAGTGAGATAAAAGTAATATTAATACTAAAAATATATTGTTACAACTACAGATCAAGGTTTTACTATAGATATGTCAGTTAATTCTTTAAATATATCATGCCATTCTTTTAAATAATAAAATGCTTATAATTAAAAATTATTTAGCTATGTTAGTAATATTTCACTATTTTATTTTATACTGATATTGTATAATATAGTTTAATTACAATTTGTATACTATTTTAATAATACAATTCCAATTTTTACTCAGTGAGAATTTTAAAAATAAACTGAGTTTTATATGTGAAGTGTCGTTCATTTTGTCGATGAAAATAGTGTGGAGGCTCATCCTACTAACTGGATTGATGATGAAATGTAAACATTTATAAAAAATAATAACAATGCTTCAAAATTGAGGGATGGGAAAATTAAGCCTAATAAATTTGAATTTAACTATTATAGAGCAAGAGTTTTATCTTCTAACATTTTTAAGTTAATATATTTTTAATATTAAAAATATTTATTTGGAATATCTAAATTGTTTACATAATAACAAAATAATTAATTTGAATAGGTTCTTTTAAAAAGCTAAAGAATTATTAGAGCACATACAGTTCATATTTGATTTGAATGATTTAGATGATAACATCAAAGTTCAAAATCTAAAAAGGAAAATAAGTATCAACTCCAGTATATCATTAATTCAAAGTAAATGATAATTGCTTAGTTTGAAATTTAATGTGAAATTTTGTTATGCAATTTTGGTTCATCCAAATCGTCTGATAAATCAATATATTTCAAACAAAGATATAAAGTCAAAAAAAGAAAAAGTCCTCTAATTTCAAATAAACTTGATGAAATTGTTTCAAATGATAGTTGAATTTGTAAATAATATATATATATATATATGTATACAATGTTTTAGACTTAACTGAGAAAGCTCATAACTTTTTATTTCATTAATATTTTGTTTAAAAAATTTTTAAATATTACATAAAAAAAAATTTAACAAAATAAAAATTAATCAAAAGTTTTAACCCTTGTCAGTTAAATCTGAGGCACTCAGTTCAAATATACAAGATTATTCTTTTAACGCTAGCCACTCAGTTTCACTTAAAATAATAATTACGTTAAGAAAATTATGTTTGATATATTTTAGTTTCATACATTACTTTTTGTAATTCATCCTTTATACCTTTTAAGAGTCTCAAATTAATTTTTATTATTTATTATTAGTTGATTATTGTTAAATTTAGTTAGTGGTAATAATAAGGAAGATAATTATCTTGCATAAATAAAACAATAAAACATTGAAATCTTGTTATAGAAAAGTTGATAGTTTATCGTATTCCCAAGATAATATTTCTTTAAATAATGTTTGTTGAAAATTATTTTATTATTTCTAGCAAATTTTATTTTACTAGTACTATTTACAAAAAATAAATAAATAATATTTTTTCCATTAGGTCATGAAATTATTGTTTTAAAAGAACCAGACAATTTTGTAAATTTTAATAATACTCCTGGAAAATTTTCTTAATCCGTTTATAATAATAAAGGTTAAAAATAATAATGCAATTAATTAAAGAGTCCTTTTTTTAGTGATTACCATGAATTCAAATTAACCCAATACAATTCAATCCAGTTCTCAAAATAATAATGGTGGATAATTTTTCTTTAATCTTTGCTGATATATAGGTTTTCTGTTACTTTAAATATTAATAGTTTTTGCTTTGTAAATATTAGATTGAATTAACCTAAATGAATATATCCAAGGTATATCCAAATAAAATCAATATATTAAGCTATTGAAAAGTACATAATTATATAAAATAACTAAAAAACTTATTTTTTCAGATATATTTTCAGAAACAAGAAAATTATCAATTGTTTAGCATAAAATAAATTAGAGGTTACCAATACATCTAATGAACAGCAACAAATTTTAAAACAAATGTAAATTTTGCTATATAATTTTAATTATATAGCACATTATTCCAACAATGTTTTGATTGAAAATATTGATTTTTTTTTTTATGAAAACCTTTATCAACACATGATGAATTGAAAAAATAGAGTTTCAGTTAAAGCATGAAGACAATTTTAAGAACAAAGTGGTAATACAATTTTTTTTAATTGTGTTTTCAAAAAATATTAATAATAAATTATAATAAAGTCTTAATTAAAATTTTAATTGTAGGTTTGTGAACATCTTAAAGTTGATGGTAAAAATATGTTACATAAATAATGAAAAAAGTTTTTTGTGATACACTTTGAAAAATTTTACACATTTTCAACTAAGAAATAAAAATAACTTTTCCATATTACTTTTCAACAAGTCAATTTTCGATGATATACTTTTTCTAGTTGATCAAATAGTAATATTTTGAATGAATTAATTGATTTTAGAAGCAATTAAAAAATCAAAATTAAAAAGCGCCTTAGATTTTTAAATTATTGAGATAATTGTAAAATAGCTCACAACATCAAAATCTAGATTGGAAAAAAAATACTCAGATAACTATTATCTGAGTATTTTCTAAATATCTAAATGACTTCAATTATTTAAATACTTTTAAGAGTTAATGATATTTTATAGATTTTTAAACATATGTAAATATTTTATTAGTAATATATTTGAAAAGTACCTTTATTAAATGTTATTCTTATTTTTATATCCCAGATATATTTCTGTTTAATATTTATTAAATATAGAAAATATAGATAGATGTATATTAATATAATGTTGGAATAGCAATATCTATTATATATCTATCCATAATATTATGAAAATATTAAAGTTTTTGTTTTTTTACTAAATATTTCATTTTTCATCTTAGTATATTATAAAAATTTTATATTGCTAACATATTTATAAATTTTTATTTTTGTGAGATGTAAAAAATCGGTTTACAAGACATCCATACAATATTCATGTAATATTAAGATTACTGTAGATAGTTTCTGAGGATATTAATAAGATAAAAATGTTTCAATAATTATATTAAATAAATATAACAATGATATTTCTTTGCTGTGTGGGTTGTATTAAAATAGAATTAACTTAAACCAGTAGTATTATTGTTGAAAAATTCAAGAGCAAATAATCAAAACATATAAATCTATAAACCACTTTATCCATATGTCAAATAAAAGAAATAATTATTGTTTGTCACAGAACATTTGCAAGAATTACAGTTCTGAGGAAATTTAATTAACACAAGTTATGTTTGCAGTAATACAAGTTATAGTATATAAGACAAGTAGGAAATCACTGTACTTAATAATTCCCCAAGATACACCAGGCTAATCTACAAAAATTGGCTGGCGTTAATTAAGTTAACAGTTAATTAAATAAAAATGTTATTAATAATGTAACAATACAAAAGTTAGTCAAATTATTTTTTATTATTTTAATGTGAACGCGTTAACCTTTAAAAAAAATTATAGTTATTTTATCTATTTTAAGTTAAATTTCGATGAAAAAATTACAAACTCAATATTTATTACGTTTCTTTAAAAAAATGATATGTATACATTTTTTAACTTTTTATAATTGGTTAAATTAGGTTAACAATTATAAATGTAAACAAACATCTTATGTAATAAAATAAACAGGCACGTATTTAAAAATGCATAACAAGAGGAGATACAACAAATAAAAGTTTTCTTTTTTCAAGCTAACATGTAGAATTTTATAAATTGATTATGAGCAAAAATAAAAAGATCAATAAATATTTTTGATCAAAATTGCATGATCAATATGTGAACACAAATACGCCACAGAAAGACGCATTCATAAAAAAAAATTTTAAGGGCTTAACAAGTTATATGAAAAATACATGAAAAATTTCAAGCATATATCCTAGCTCACTGACAAGCATGTATCAAAAATGCATAAGCAAAACGCTTTACACTAAATCTTTATTAGTAACTTAGAAATCAATATTGAAAACATAATAGTCTGTAGATTGCATTTTAAATTTAAATACAAGTATCCAATATTTAATTAATAATTGATATGTTTGAAAATATCCTAAAAAATTGTAATTTTAACTGAGCAGAATGAGAAATCATTGATACTATATTCCAGTTTTGGTTGTCTTTTTATTTTTATTTAAAATAAATTAAAAAAAATTTAGCATATAAAAAGCTCTACAAAAATTAAATCAAAATTAAAGAGTAATATTATTTTAGTTTTAACATTTTATTTTTTGTAAATTGTGTACTAATTTTTCGAACCAATAAAAAACCTTGAGAAATAAATTAGTCAAGTTTGGATTTTTAATTAGCATCCGTTTTACAATGTTTTTTGAATTAAGTAACTATAAATGTTAAAAGAGACTTTATGCGGTGAACTAAATTTCTAGTTTGAATATAATTTTGAGAAGTATCACTTACCTCATAGAAAATGTTTAGCAGAATACAAGTATTTATTTTTAATTATTACACTGGGACAACAACTATTACATAAAGTCCGGTGAACACGTTAACGTCAACATGTGTCTGTTCTGTAACTGAAGAGCACTTAAAAAGTTTAGGCGCCGTCAACTCGTGGTATACGCCAAATACAATTCTGTAACGTCTGCACTGTGGTTGCGTCCTGTGCGCCTGCCGTCTAATTCACTTGATAGTAGCGAATCAAATTTTTCCACAAAAGTACAGAAACGATAATCAAGGTCCTAAAATTTAATTATTATCCATTAAAATAATATTATTAATATGAAGACTTTTTTTATATATACTATCATTAATATCTGTCGTAAATTTTTACCTTTAGAATCTGATTAGGTATATTAATTAAACAGATTTATAACAATTGTCGATTTTCTAATAAAAAAAATGTCTTTCTGTTTTAATTTGTAACATTTTTTTTTTTTTTTTGTTCACTTAGTCAAATTAAAAAATTTCTCTTTATAAAATTAAAAATATAAGAAAATTGTTTTAGGTTGTTTAAAAATTCTGTAAAGGACTTCTATTAATTTTAAAAAATTGCATAACTTATTTTAAAATGAAGTCTGGAGAATATCATTTTTAAGAAGTAGTATTTTTTGTGTACACTTATTTGTTTAAGGTATCTTGAGAGTTTATTTAAAGTGACATAAACAATTGTGACAAATACTAATATATTAACACTGATTGCGTTTATTTTTTATATATTTACGTACTCAAGTATGAATTATTGTTTTTAGTAACAAATATTTTTATACTAAACTGAACACTGTATAAAGATATTATATAAATATTAAGTGAAATATTAAAGTGTCTAATTCTTATATAATTATTTTAGTGAAGATTTAAGAATGAAATGCCAACGATCTTCTTATTATGTAAAGTTATGTAGTTTGATAAACGCATCCATTTGATATTTCGAAAACGCTTTTTAAAATAATTTAAATCGCTGACTGTAACTAAGTTTTTTACAAATATATTAACAAATTATAAAAGTTTAATTTTAAAATTTAATTACAATTTTTATTTTAGATAAAATGAAATATTTTAGATACTATTTTACTATAGAAAAGTAAATATTTTCCTTACCAAAAAAAAAAAAAATACATTTTATCCAACAGAATAAAGGAATGTTTAAAACATCATCCATATGCTGGTATCACGAGCAACATAAGTGTAACATGTTTTACTAGAGCGTATAATAAAACATAATGTGTTTCTTAGAAGTTTAATTTCAATTTTATTATAATATATTTCACAAATGAAATTAATTTGTATAAACAATTTAATTAGTATAACATGACAAGGCTTTCTGGTGAATTAAGTCGATATGATGTATTTTAATTCTTGTATTAAAAAAATGTTACACTGCAGCTGATTATTAAAAGCTGATTTCTGCAGTATCATCTTGTAAAATGTTAATCTGTTTAAGGTAACATAGGATTAATTAATTGTACGACAGATATAAAATGATAAATAAGTTTTTATTTTCAATAAAATAAGTAGGCTTAAAATAAAGTTCTATAATTATTTGCGCCTACTCAAAATAAATAATTTTGGCTTTAAATTTTTAACCTTCCATAAAAGTTACATTGCGTACTATTTTGTATTGGATATATTTATATTTATGTATGAATGTTTTAAGTGAATTATTGCATATTTACACAAAGATTAAAATGCTTAATATCGTAAGTTATAATGTATTGTCATACATCTTAAATTTAAATTTACACTATTATTTGTTAAAAAAAATTTTAAATGTGTTTAATATTTTACATAAAGTTGAACGTAATGAATATTAATTTCTCTCAGCTCCCCCCACATATAACTTTATGAATTTTACATTATACAAATCAACATCCAAAATATAAGTTAAATGATAAGTTCAATGCAACTAACATTACAACATTGATGTTGGTTAAATAATGTCATTTTTACTGTTATTTGAAAATTAAAATCAAAAATAGTAAGCGCTATCTATACAAGTTACTCAACGTTAACATGTTATTTTTTCATCATATCCACCAGATGGGAATTTTAGTTTAGAACTTGCGTAATTCAAATTATAAGCCATAATTCTAATTATGTTTATTTAAAACAAGTAATATTTTATAATTTCACACATATTTTTTGTATTAGTTACTAATAGCTAACTATTATATTTCAATTTTTTTTACTAAAAACTGCCGTAACTTTTTTAAAAATGAACATATCAATATAATTTTTTTTTTTATAGATGCTTGATGTCTTTACCTAATATTTAGTATATTTTTTTTGTAAATTTGACCTTTTTTCTGCCCACAGGGGGGGATTAAAAATGACAACTTTTTCACAAAAAATTAACTTTTTCAACTTAACTTTTGAAAATGTTCCGGAAGGTCTGACACTTTTATATATATCTTAAATTAAAGCTAATGTAATATACTTTAATTTGAAAAAAAAAAATTTGACCTCTGGACTTTTCTTCACGGCGAAAATGGCTACCGAATGCTATTTTCGTGTGAAAATTCTCGATTTTATTATTCATATTATATTTAACTTTATAATGCTATAACTTATTGAAAAGTTTATGGATCCACACAATTTTTTTATGAGAAATAATATTTTTTAATAAACCCTTTTTCATTCGACATACTTTATCTTAATTGAGATATTAAGGAACCAGCAGATCAAGTAGCTTTTGGAATAAAACACCAATTTTTTTTAAATTAAACACTATCTAAAGATTTGCATCGAAGCGTTTATTTTTTATAGTGATTTTAATCACTGTCAGATATCATTATACTTGATCCAACTATACCACGTCACAACTGTGCCGCGACCCCCCTGTGCTGGGTTTTTATTTTTTCAAATTATATAATAAAATACTATGAAAGCGTCAAATATTTTAACTGAGTTAAAAAAAAAGACAGTGGCGCATTATTTTTATTTCCATCTAAAGAATATAAATTGTGTCAATTTTGCATTGATTTGATCTGAAATTTTTTGGATATAATATTGAGATGTATGAACTTGGTGATTTAAGTGTCAGATAAAAGTTAAATTTTAGTACCAGGAATTCATGAGAGTTATCGATATTAGTTTGAACATCATATTGAATTATATTGATGGCCATCTGAAAATAGCCGGCAATAGGCTGAACACCATTTCAAAACGCCTGAAATGCATACATTAATCTTATAAATTCCTGGTACTAATTTTTGATTTTGGAAATGTTTAATAACATGGTCGGATTGTGTTCAAGCCACGGCTAGCGAGTAACATATCGGCGCGCCGCCATGGAGTAATTGTTGTTATAAGCATATGTAACATTAGGCAAAAATATCTATAATGAGTTGGGTTACCTATCATATCGGACTAATTAAATTAGGTAAAGAGAGAAGTATAACCTTTTGGATCACGGTTGGTAACGTATTGTTATGAGCACCGTTGCAAAAGATTAAAAGTATATTAGGAGAAGCCAGTTATCTTGATCACGGTTGATAATACGAAGGTTATGATCATCGTTGAAGATTAACTGACTTTTTAAATTAAAATCTAATATATCTAAACATTTAATATACATGATCACGGTTGATAACAGTAAATCGATATTGTTACGAACACCGTTGAAGTTCTATATATTAAATTTAGAAGACTTAGGAGAGAAATAATAAAAACAACTTGCCCAGTGGAGCAAGGAATAAACGAAGTTAATCAAGTAGGCAATAGATATTACGAACACTAAATTAATTTAACTGACCAAAGAGAAAAAAAGAAAGTGACGGGGAAGAAGGCAGCGAACCTTATACTGACCGCCACCACTTGGGTCGTGTATCTTAATTGTTTACTAATTATTTTATTGTTAATAAATAAATGTCTATTTTTAAAAATCTTTTTAAATTGTAAGTTCCTGTTTTGACTGATATGTAACATAAAAAATGTTTACTAGTATTATTATCCATCTTATTAAATAAGAGTACATTATACTATAATATTTTGAATAAAAGTTAATATGCAGCGCTGGACTTTCTTGCAACTGAAAAAATGACAATAAAGCTGTAGCGTAACGCGTTGCTCCCTTGGAAAATTTTTTTTTTAATATATATATATTGGATTAAATTACTTTTTTAATCCTTTATTCATATTTAAAAAACATTTGCATTTAATTACATTAAAATGAAGCGGCTAGTTTCTTCATTAAAGTTTTGATAAGAATTTCGTAGCGCTTTTGGACGAGTGTTTGTTTAATAAGTTCTTGCTTGATTTTAGATATGAACTTAATCCTTTTTCCAATATTTTTACCTATTTTTTTTATTGTTTGTTCTACAGTTTGATCATTGTTGTCCTTTTCACTTACTAATCGCGGGATAACACTTACTAATTTTTTCCGTATTTGATTAATATTTTAATCATCGGATAGATGAAGTTCATTGGATTCTGTCTTTCTCAGAATTCTGTAAATCACAAATTAAGAACGTATTTTCGCCTAACTTTTTTTTTATTCTATATAATACCCTATACAAAGAAAATAATTTTTTAATTCCCTCTCCATAGCCAATGAGCAGTTATGATTTTTACTAATACTGACTGATGCGTGTAATAACACTAGTTTACAACAAAATTGACCTATGACTTATGATAGTCATTTTTTATTTAAATCGTTCACTGAGTGCGACAATGAAGTTTAAAATACAAAAAGTAGAACAGTATTTGAGTTATTGCGAAATTAGCGTTTTTCGTGTGCACGAAAATGTGTATTCATTATATTCTAAATATCTTTAATTGTATTTAACCGATTTTCATTGTTTTTACATAAAATTAAACAATATTAAAATACTTATAACGATTTTTTATTTGACTTTTTTCTCGTTTGCTATCTATGAATTTACCACTGAATTTTTATCATTTTTTTCAAAATGTAAGAAAAAATTCAGAGTTTTTAGTAAAATACACAAATAAAAAATAAATTTATCAACAATATATTCAATAGACCTTATACTCTAATACATAACAAAGAAAATGATATATTAGTTTGTAATATTGATAAAAAAAATAAAGATAAATTTATAAAAAAATAAATTTATGCACGATTAAAAATATAAAACAAATTTCCTAATATCAGAGTTTTTTAATTCGATGCTTTAATTTTGTAAAATAAAGAAAAAAATATTGAAAAATTACTCATAATTATACTTTTCAAAACAAAATTTCAATTTTTAAATAACTTAAGGTTGTTTCATAAAATTTT